ACCAGCGGGTCGTTGCTGAGGAGCATCCTCATGTTCACCTTCAATTCCTTTGAACAGCAAGCAATCTGTGTCTCTCTTTCTCATTCTCATTCCTCGTCTGCCCGACAAGCCATATCACCGGTCATCGGCAGGCCCGTGAGCTTCCAATCTGCTGGCCAGACACAGGATAGCTAGCTGACACCAGTCGCCATGGCCAACACGAAATCATCAGAGAAAAATGTGACGGCGGCTGGCGAAAGCGCCGACGGCTTCACCCCCGAAAGGTTTGAGAGGGAGCTCAAAGACCTCGCCCACAAGGCCAGGAGCGAAACTTTTTCTCATCGTCTCGTGGAGCAGACCGGTGTTTATGTGCGGATCGTCCTTTTGCTGGGCCTGCTCGGCATCTACTCGCATGTCTCGCAGCTCAACCTTTCGCCGGTATACGGATCGATTCCGTCGTCGATATGGCATTCCAAGCTTCTCATGGGTGGCTGCTTCGCGGGCTGGGCCGCAAATGTCGTGCTGCGACGATATCTGCCGATTGGGACCCTCAAGGCCCTCCCCATCGTGGCCGTCTGCATTCCGAGCATACAGCATTACCTGGGACCGCACAGCCAGACTTTCGGTCCGCAATGGGGCCCCGTCGTGACAGAAGCTCTCACGCTGTTGCCACTGTCAGTGCTGACGGCGGCCTCAGCGGCCGATTGCTGGGAAGACGCGAGACTGGGCAGGTTGCCGTCGTTCATCGCCGATGCCGCCCCGGGAATCAGCTCCTGGGCCCTGTTCAGATATTTTGAGCATCGAGCCGGCATTCACCTGTCACCACTGATTGGCAGGACCATTATTTTCACGCGCATCGGGCTTGAGATGTTCTTGTCCGTCGCGTACGCGGGGTTTGCGCCGTCAAAGTACTTGATTTACGCGGCGTTTCCATTTCTTCATACTCTTCTCCTCAACACTCATCTCCAGTCGACTGCCGTCACAAACAGACTCATGGGTAGCATGATGTCACACGAGTGGTTGCTGCTGGAGAGACGCGAGTCAATCACTGGTTACATCTCCGTCGTGCAGAGTTTAAAACAGGGCTTCAGGGCCATGCGCTGTGATCATAGCCTGCTGGGCGGCGAATGGATCGAACATAGGGGCGGCCGGGTCTCGGAGCCCATATACGGCGTGTTTGTCATGCTCGAGGCTGTCAGGATGGCTGTGACAGACGTCCCCGTTGCCGACAAAGATGCTCACGCCCTGGTGATGTGAGTTTGAGCGCCGATGCTTTGTTTTGCGAGAGTTCCTCACTGAAAGTGCATTTGATAGCGGGCTTGGCGTGGGCACAACGCCATCGACGTTTGTAAGCCATGGGATCAACACTACACTCGTTGAACTAGACCCGGTTGTGCACGAGCTTGCAGTCAAGTATTTTGATTTGAAGGAGAACAACCCGCCCGTGCTCCAAGACGCCGTCACATACACAGCATCGTTGGCAAAGACTGCCCCCGCCACGTACGACTATATCGTGCACGACGTATTTACTGGAGGTGCCGAACCCGTTGATCTGTTCACACTTGAGTTTTTCCAAGGTTTGCACGCGCTTCTCAAGCCCGAGGGCACCATTGCGATTGTGAGTAAAACCCTCGCGCCTCACTCACTGATCAACCATGGGATGAATCAAGGGGCATGACTAACAGACCACTCTTCCCCCCTCCCCTCCTTGGAAAAAAAAAATAGAATTATGCGGGAGATTTGGCGCTTCCTACGCCAAAGGTCATTTACCGTACTATCAAGAACGTTTTCCCCACCTGCCGCATATATCGCGAAACGCCGGTCGACAAGCAGGCCGTGAAAGCAAGTGGCATGGATTTCACCAACGTGGTCATTTTCTGCAAGAAATCCAGCAGCGGCGGGCCTCTTACATTCCGAAAGCCCACAGCCAAAGATGTCTTGCAAAGTCCCTCCAGGAGAGAGTATTTGACGTTAAAAAACGAAGTCCCGGAGCAAGATATGCTTGGGCCAGAAGAGGATGGCATCTTGCGGAGAAACGAGACGGGGAAAGTGGTCAAGTGGCATGAGAAGAGTGCGGTTGGACACTGGGCGTTGATGAGATCGTCGATTCCGGCATTTGTATGGGAGAAATGGTAGTTTTTCTTTGCTTATTCATACTCTCACGTGTGTGGCAGGTTATGTGGCAACGCTACCCCAGGTTTCTCTATAGATGACGTTTAATTGACCAGGGCACTCGGCGGATGAAGTTTCCTGTGGTCATATCTGTTCGATGGTTGGGGCCGTTCGTTCGGGGAATGGCATGCTGGGTTGGAGGGGGCCCTTCAGGCTTCTTTCGAAACTAGCTAGCTACTTTCTTACCTAAAGTACCTAGGTACCTACCAAAGCATGGCGCAGATGGTCACGTTTTGTGGCGCCAGATGGATAGGGTAAGGATTTTCATCTCAGGAGACTGACCCGACGTGATGATGATGATGATGATGATGATGATGATGATGATGATGATGATGATGATGATGATGATGATGACAAGGGGTGGTCTCAGGGGTTTGCGAGGCAGGTTTGGGAATAGTCCTGTCAGAGTCTGCCGATGTAGGAGTGGCTGTCGTAGTAGCGACGAGTACGTGTGCCAGCCAATTTCTACCCCGCATCGCTTCCCGTCTCGCTGCGCGGGTCCCCGTCCCCGCCAGATTATTGACCGTTGCAGCGGCAGTGGTTGTCCGAAATTACAAGAGTGGCTGTAGCGTGTAATGGCAAGACGGCATCACAACATTGGGTCAAGAGCCTCCTCCCTCTCGGTGCCGGCTTGCTTTTTGATGATTGTGTGGCTACAGTTCAACGTGAGGGGGCTACCCGTTCCGTACCGCATCATCGATGCTTGAACCTGGCACGGACAAATGGGGGGGGGGGAAGACAAGGAAGCTCTTCACAGATAGTCACATACTAACAACAAATGCATTTTTGTCCCATAATCAATCTCGGTGCGATGGCCCCATATTGATGCCCAGCCAGTAAATGATACTCATCGGTCACTTTTATGCCTTGCCCCTGGCTTTTCACTTGTCCTTTTCCTTCGCCGCCGCCTCGAGACTATACTCCTCATTCGTCTTTTTAAAGTCGTCAAAAAACTCCTTGGCATAGGCCGGCAGCTCCACGCGATTGTACGGGGTGGGAATCGGCTCGCCCATGGTCTTGTGGATCGGCACGACCCCGGTCCAGATGCTGTCGAGAAGATCCTGGTTCTCCAGATCGAACTTCTCATCCGAGACGCCCCCGTCGCGAATCTTGGCGCTCCCCGACCTGATCTTGACCCTGAGGATGCTCGTGCTCTGGATTTCAGCCTTGGTGGGGGGCAGACGGGTGTTGTCCCAGCGGCCGGGCACGACCGAGTTCGTGATGAGCTCCATGGCGTACAGCTTCTCCGCCTCATCCTCGACGAGGGTGGCGTGGCCAAACAGGACGGCCGAGCGGTAGTTGTAGCTGTGGTGGAAGGAGGACAGGGCGAGGACCAGGCCGTCGACGTGGGCGACGGAGCAGCACACCGCCAGCCCTCCTCCTCCTGCTCCGCCGGCGACGGCGTCGGACTCTTGGCGGCCGAGCCTGAACAGGCGCGACGAGACGTAGCCGTGGATGTAGAGGTCCAGAGGGTGGCCGAGATCCGCCGACGGCTTGTCAAAGGACCCCATCTGGCCAATCATGGGGAGCGTGACGGGGTAAGGCTGGTCCGGCACGTTGAAGGAGACATTGATGAGCTGGCTCGAGTTGATGAGGGAATGGATCTTTTGGAGAGCATAGTTTCCTGGCATCCGGGGGTCAACAAGCGGCGAGACAGACTGACACTACACACACATAGAGCGAGAGAGAGAGGAGGAGAAAGGCGGCAAGCGAGCGGCTTGTTTCCATGCCTTTTCTCTCGCGCCGGAGAAGAGGGACGGATGGTGGGATCGACATGGGGAAACAGAAAAGACTCACCCTGCTCGCCGTGGCGTTTGACCGAGTTTATGTCATCTCGGGGGTATTCGAGCTCGTAACGACCCATGATGGCGGGTTCCGGGGTACGGCAGCGGGGACTATTACCGAAGGCAGGCAGTCTTGTGAATTCCGTCTCTCACTTGTCTTGCTTATCGACCCTCGTTGTTGTTGAGCTTGTCTTTTTTTTCCCTTTTCTTTTCTTTTCTTTTCTTTTCTTTTCTTTTCTTTTCTTTTTTTTTTTTTTTCTTTTTTTCCTTTTCCCCCTCGTTTTTTTTCTTTGTTTCCTTCTTGGCTTTTCGGTTGTGATTTGATGGACGACCCCGACAGACAGACAACCTTGACAAACTCGTATCGCACGATTGGCTGGGGAGGGGGGGAATCGGACGGGGACACACACACACCCCAAAACGGGCATTCAAGCCAAGACGCACGCTTCCGTCTGGGCAATATATGTATGCGCCATTGATGCCTCGGATGCGAGGCCGCGAGAAAGCAAGCAAGCAAGCAAGCAAGGTGAGCACAAAATGAGTCACGGGGCTGACTGTACTGTACTACCAAATGCCGTGATCGCTCTTGCATCGATCGTCCAACAACAGTACGCGCCGGCGGCCATGACAGCCAGCCAGCGCACGTGGCTGGCGCTGAGAGGGCGCGCGCATTGCAAATCAGCCGGGCCGCCATTCGGCACCGGCACTGGCACTGCTCGGCGGGGTTCAACGCCAGCTGGTGGTCTTGGCGCGGGGCCATTGTCACATCGTCGAACATACTGCATATCCGTACGAGTTATCCTCTCGGCGGAACTCAACTGACATGAAAATGCTTGCTCATTTGTATGACGCCTGATCGTGTGAGGATGTCCCAGAATACGGCATGCTGGCGCTGCGACGGAATTGACGCCAACCAGGAAAAGTCAGAGACTGAAGCCAGCTTGCTGACGCACGGGGCGGCACCAAGCACGTCCCCATCGCCCTGAATTCTCCCCATGACATTCTCTGCCTTCTGTGGGGTATATACTTTTTTCTTTTTTCACTTGAAATACAATGATCTGCCCTTCACCTGTGTCTCATGTCTGCGAGGTACGCCTCAATGTCCATGTTCTTGAGTTTGTCCGCTTTCTCCGTGACCTGCTGCTCCATTTCCGCCTGGTACTTCTTCATCTTGTCGAGGAGTTCGGGCATGAACGCGCCCAGAAATCTGATGGCGAGCAGAGCGGCGTTGGTGGAATTGTTGATGGCCACCGTGGCAGTCGGCACACCTCGCTACGTCTGGTTAGTGGGGGTGGTTTGCTGAAGAGAGACAGAGAGAGGAAGGGGGGAAGGGGGGAAGCGGGCGGTGATATCACGAGACGTACCGGCATCTGCACAATGCTGAGGAGGGAGTCGTATCCATCGAGGTGGGTGGCCTTGACGGGCACGCCAATGACCGGCAGAGGCGTGTAGGCCGCCAACATGCCCGGCAGGTGGGCGGCTCCTCCGGCGGCTGCAATGATAACCTTGAGACCGCGACCGGCCGCGCCCCTGGCTACCTGGGCCATCTTGTCGGGCGTCCGGTGCGCCGAAGTAATATCAATCTCCCACGGCACGCCAAACTCGGTCAGCACGTCAATGCCAGCCTTGAGCACCGGCAGATCCGAGTCGGAGCCCATGGTGACCAGCACCAGCGGGCTGCCGCTGCCACTGCCCTTGACGGTTGGCGCAGCGGCAGCTTGAGGACGGAGAGCCTTGATCGACGCCTCGAGGCGCTCTTGGCGGATGCGACTGCTCAGTTCCAGCAATGGCTCGGCGAACCTCTCCAGCTCTGCGATGGACCCGAACGACGTCACCGTGATGTGACCGATCTTGCGGCTCGGCTTCGACTCCTTACCGTACAGATGGACGTAGACCGCTGTCTTGGCGGCGTACATGGACTTGGCTTTTTCCACCAAGGGCAGGTGTGAGTCCGGGTGGGCACCACCGAGAATGTTGATCATGATGCTGGACTCTACGTGGGGTTCCAGAACCTCTGGAAGAGGCTCGTCCAGGATGGCCGTGAGCTGCGCCTTGAACTGCGACCTTTTTTGACTGGTCAGCGCAACCTCCATGCCGACGCTGACGTCGACTTCAGTGAACTCACATGTAAGGAACAGCCTCGATTGTCAAGTGCCCGCTGTTGTGCGGCCTCGGCGCACACTCGTTATAGATGATGTCGCCGTCTTTTGTAAGGAACATCTCGATGGCAAAGACGCCTCGTCCCCAAAGCTGCTCGGCCACGGCGATGGCTACCGCTTGCGCCTTGCGACACACTTCCGTCGACACTTTTCTCGGCGGCATGTACACCTTGGAGCAGATGCTATCCTCGTGGACCGTCTCGACAACGGGATAGGGCATTACGCGCCGGAGGTGGCCGGCGTCGTCTTCGGCGCGGATGACCATGACAGCAAGCTCGAGCTCAAAAGGCACCCACTTCTCCGCGTAGCAGGCGAGACTGCCAAACTCCTGAGCAGCTCGTCGCAGGTCGTCCTGACTCGAAATTTTAAAGTTGCCCCGGCCATCGTAGGAGTCCTTCCGCGCCTTGAGCATCCACGGATACCCAAATTTCTGGGACGCACGCTCCATCGATGCGAGCATGCCCTCGTCACCGCCCGACTCAATGGCCATTTGTTCCGCGATGGGAATTCCCTGTCCGCGTAGATACTCCTTTTGCTCGAACTTATCCTGCACCAGCCGCAGCGTCCTCCACGACGGGTGCACGGCGACTCTCTTCATCGTCGACGCCGTGTTCGTGCCGTCTGCGCCGTGCACCGGCACGCCGCGGGTCGCAATTTCCTCCAGGACTTCCGTCTCGATGTGCTCAATCTCGACGGTCAGCACGTCACACGCCGCCGCGAGCTGCTTGATCTTGGCGGCGTCTTTAAACGAGCCTGATATGTGGTGCGGGTTGCTGTTGATCTGCTTGGCCGAGCAGCTGTCCGCGTCGAGGATGGCGATCTGCGCGTTGGAAGCTGCACCGGCCTCACACAGCATGCGGCCAAGCTGGCCGCCGCCCAACAGACCGACGACGGATGGCCTTAAACTCATGGCGTAATTAAAGCGGCGAGTATGTGTGTGTATTTACGCGCTTTGTACCCCCAATATTGCCGCTCCGGGTGTCTGGTTAAGGCACTGCTGATTTATGAAAGGCCGCTCATATTGCGCGCTGTGTTGAGTCAAAGAAGAATTCAGGGAAGCTTTTTTTTTTCTGGATGCAAAGCCTTTTTATGTCCAACGACAGGTGTGAAGTGGATTACGGAGATAGACCCTACGACCTATTGTATCAGACAGGTCGTGCATGCAAAGCTGTGACACCACACGTTGTAATGTGGTGGTTTTCTCGTGATGGCTAAAAGTGAGGATTTACGATCTAGGTACATACTACTACTTACAGCTACGAACTTGTGTGGCATCTGTATGTAGTCTGTGGGCCCATCACGTGCCACAAGCTCAGGGCGCGCTGTGCGGAAAGACCGGGGCGGTAGGGGGGGTGGTGGGTCCCGTCCCTCTTCTCCAGCACGGAATCAAAACATTGAGGGGCAAAGGGGGCCAAGGAGGGGGGGGGGGCATTTCTGGCAAATGCAAGCACTTTATCCTTCAGTGAGAATTGGCATCCACCAAGTTGGCAAGGTGCCTGCTTGCCGTCAAAGGTACTTGCCGGATATCCATCCCTCTATTTATTGCTAGGTGCAATATCGAGATCGGGACTAGCAGCCTTGAACAAACTCAACGCAACGCCCAGCGTCGCCCATTAACATCATCAATCCGTCAACGCCAGGTCTTGTGATAGCGCTACAACCCAACAATGCGGCAAGCAACACCTTCCAGAACAAGGCGGCTGCATGCATCAGCATGAATAGAAAACCGTCCCGGAGGCCTTTGATAACCTGGGTTCAGGAAGCTTCTTCCCTTCGGACCAGCCTCGGAGGGTAATACAGATATAGCGCAGGCTTGAGAACAGTTCACGACGTTGCTTGATAGAAATACGCCGTCCAATTTGTCAGTCGATAGGCGTCGGGCTGCGCTTCTAACCAAGCTCAACAACAGCCCATAAACCCATTCTCGGAAGTCGCTGAATCAGCCGTCGACCCCATGACAGACTGTCCCAAATGCCTGCTGGAGAACTGCCGCGCGTAGTATGCAGCAGGGGTGTAGGTGTCTTGTTTGAGTACTATGTAGGTACTGCTTTGACAGCACAGTCGATTTTCCTCTTGTCTTCGTTTTTGCTTCCCTTTGCGGCCCCCCAATCAGCTGTCCTTGTTTCTCCGGTGCAGTTCGTGACTAACCAAAAGGTTCGTGAAATTGACGTGCACTGGCGGATGATCGCCACCGCCACCATCACACATTGAACTCCGATGCGGCCAGAATTAGATCGAGCATGAAACAATGGCCCGAATCAACCACGTCGATTCGCTGTCCAGCTCCAGGTTCAGAGGGACGAGAGGGAAAGGAAATAGTGACCATGTCTGGATCGACAGACAGAACCGGCTTTCTCGTTGACGATTCGTCGTGACCAGCGCTTCACACCATCTTTGGCCCTCTAGCGACGTTGACGCGGCGTTTTGCTTTGTTTCCCGTCCCCCGTCCGGGTGTGGCTGCCGTGAGATGCGAGGGATGCTGCGACAAATGGGCGGGCGGATCGATGAGGGTGCGCGCCTCGCTCCCAAGCGGACTTGAGTCGACACCTCTTGCGACTCGGTCGAGTCTACCTGGGACAGGGTGCAATCAAGTCGGGCAATTGGGGTGGGCCGTCTGAGTGTCGCGACTTCCTCGGGCCCTACGTCTGACGTTTCATGTCAAACACACTTGTTGCGTTCTGGCACCTGTCCGTCCAATCAGAGGCCTGCCGTGCGGCCGGGATCAATCTGAGTCTCTCTCTCAAACAACGTTGTGCGGTGCGTTGAGGCAGGCCGGAAATCCTACTGCCTCTTTCCTGTCCGATATGAATCGTCGTCCAAGCAAGGCAGGCAGGCATCCGTGCCAGATTGTTCTTGCGCCCACCACCCTCCGTCTCGGCCAAGCCCGCGCTGGCCTCTGTTGCAAGATGGGGTGTGTCCATGCTCTCACAACAATTGATGCTATGCCTTCGTCCGCTTTTCGATAAGCGTCTGTCGCTTGGTCTTTTTTTCCCCCCTTTCGTCGTCTTTCCGCATCCTCCAAATCTTCAACCTGACCGGAACGGCACCTGCTGGCCATATTCCAGGGCTGAGCATTTGCTTGCGTACGGCGTACAGTGATGATGGCCATGTCATGATATGTACCATTCCGATCCGAGAAGCCATGCAATGTACATCGCCAACCACGCTTTGCATCTTCTTCGTTTCGACAAAGATCGCCGGCTGAGCGGAATTGCATTCGATTTTTTACCTTGCCTGGGCGGCGTCCGCTGGACCGGCGAATCGCCCTCATGGCCGACTCACCCAGAGACCAGGCGCTCATTGCGACCTTTTCCTTGTCAGTCCATGTCCAACATGTCTGTTTGTGAAGATACATGCTGACCATGACAGTGGACTGATCGTCTGTGCCGCCTTGGGCACCATCATTTTTCACCTACGGGGCGGCATCTTTTCATTCTTTCGGGGCGGTCTGAGGCTGGTCCTCGCAGGCTTCCTCTTGTTTGCGGCACTATGGGCTCTTATTGGATTTGTCGCTACATTCATCGACACGAGCTCCCCGTCCGGCTGTCAGATTGCTGTCGTCTTTTCGTCGGCTTTCGACGAACTAGCTCGCATCACCCTCCAGGAATTCCTGTTCTGGGCCATCAAATGCGATCTGAAAGCCAGCTTCGGCGTCTTGTTTCCTCAAGCCATAATCTTTGTCCGCGCAATCGTGGGCGCCATATTGGTCGCCGTTCAGCGTCCACAATTTGCTCCTGTCTGTGTCACGGCAACCTTGTTCTGGCCCATCGGTGTCGTCGTTTTGGTCATGGACGCCTTCATTGTGGTGATGCTTCTGACGAGAGCCTCTTACGTGGGCATTTATCGTGATATGAAGTCCAGCGGATCTGATGGTGTCCGCGCCAAAGCCCTCATTCTGACCACGGTTGCATCGGGCATTTGGATTCCGGTAAGTTGCCATGACTGCCCAATGAAACGATATAGTGAAATTGGCCTGACCGGGATGTTGCAGGTGAGCGTTCCGATGATCTTGGGCATCGACAACCTCGGTATTGCTACAAGAACTGCCCTCCCTGCTGTCGGAGTACTTCTTGTGATAGGTATCATCGCTCCGTTCCCGTACCTCGTTGCATGGTACTGTTTTACTGACCGAAGAACGTTCAGCGAGCATCGCCTACTTCTACAGGGATCTAGTCCGGCCGCCCCAAGACACTGCTCAAAAATCTGATAAATTTGTCAACCACTTTCCCGGCTTATCAGAGACTGAGCTACCTAACCCTCGCACCGCTCGTGAGGTCGAAAGCCAAAATGTGTCACGCAACGGCCCAGCGTATCCTGCCAACCCGCCTGTGCGGCCCGCTCGGACTACCGCGACTTTGGGAATTATCGCACCAGAGCTGATGCAATCGTCCCAAGACGGTACGAGCTCGTTGCCCGTGATCCACCGACCGAGTACAGGCCAGGCCGTGGCTGCTGAGGGGGGTTTGCCTGTCAAGGGTCAGCTTTTCCCACCGCTAAGAAATGAGACGAAGTCGAAGAGGCGGGACAACACGCAAGCACAATCCTCCAAGAAGCCTGCAACAAAGGGCGGCAAGCTGGTCATATCATATCCAATCATACAGGAAGATATGCTCGCAGACGACAGCCCATTGAAGCGTATTGCAACGGTTGATTTGAATACCGCCGCCCAAAGGGACAGAGAGCGTCGAAAGATCACCGGACCGCCGATGCTGCGAGGGCCCCCTGGCCCCCCCTCTCGACCGTTGAACTCGGCAGGGCCTCTTCTCGGGCGCCAGGACAGCCAGACCATCGAACGAAAACAGGTCGCAGTCTCTGAATCCCTGCAATCTGCAAAAGATACCTTGGAGGCCATTCGAAAAGCCTCATCACAAGGCGTTTCTTCGTCAATGACAAGCCCTACTCCCGTGCCCAGCGCCTCGGGAATTCGCCAGAGGTCTCCCAAACACGTTTCTCAGTTCATGCGTGCAGACGCTGGCCAGACCTCTCCAACCACAGCTTCAACGGCACTTTCTCCTCGAAGAGAGTCAGAGACCATCGTGCCGCCGAAGATCCCTCCCCGCTCACCGATGCGGCCACCACCAGAGATCAGTTCCCATGCATCTATTTCCATCAGCGAGGTTCTGTCGACTGCGGGATCAATGCAGCCTCCTGGCTCCCCCAGCGCGCAGCCAGAAAGCTTCACCGCACAATCTCCCCCGGCGCCGACCACCTTAGCTGCATTGGTACCATCCCATGTCGCATCAGATGAGAAGCCAACTGACGCTTCCATTGCGGATGTGAGTTCAGCAAGCGGCAAGTTCGAGCGCGCGTCAAACAAGGCGCTGGACGTTTTAGTTCCTCCCGTGGCACCACTTTCACCAAAGAAATTCCAGGCTCAGAAATCTGCTGCGAAAGAAGGCAGTTTACCGGGACAGAACCCGGTGTCTCAGACGTTGCAGCAGTTGCCTCGTAGTGGCTCCGTCAAACATGATATCCGCCCCTCGAGGCAACGGCCGACTACCCCCCCAAAGGGTGAGGAGGCAAAGCAAGTCAAGACTCCTGTTCAGCTGAGGAAAGCTGCAGGTCTGCCAAACAATCCTCGCGCGCAAGCCGCGAAAGATGCCGATGCTGGGGAAGAGAGGAATACCCAGACAGTCATGTTCGTTAATGAGCATGCCAACGACGGCCCAATGAGCCACACCCCGAAAAATAGAACAGGTCAGGCTGGCTGGGAAGCCTCCGGAGACGGCGATTCGGTAGTAAATCGTCCTCGGCCGATTCCTCGCCGGAAGTCGTCTGAGTCACTTTCTGCCGAGGCATCGATCGAGCTTCCCAAAACACCCAAGAGAATCAATTCCATTTCATCCATGGGTCCTTCCAAGAATCAGTCATTCACGTCGGCGAATGGATCGGCTCAGGTGCCGCCGGTGC